AATTAAAAGTTACTAAACTACCCAGAAAAGTAGTTAAACTACAGTAACTTAATTGAGTAAAGTAGTTGAACTACGTACAAGTCTGGCCTGGCAAGCGCTCTGCGTAAGTGTTTTCACTGATCTGCCTAGCCCCGCACACCATCACATGGGCCAAGAAAGGTGTAGTTTTACTGCAGAGGAGAAATCAGCAGGGTCCAAGATGGTGACAATGGAGGATGGGGGACTGTTCCAGTGGCTGATGGCTTGAGAAAGGAATGACCAATTGAAAGCGTTCGTAGAGCCAGAAGTGTGTTTGATGGAGCAGACGTTGTTGAGGCGAGAAGATGTTCGGTCGAGGGGTAATAACAAAGTGGTTTTGAGGTCGGGAATGTGGTAGTAGATTTTGTGAATAAGGCACAGCTGAGAGACTTTCCTGCGAAGCTGCAAAGAGGACATGGTAAGTTCAGTTTTTAGCGCCGAGACACTGAAAGAAAAGTCACAAGTGGATGAAATGAAGCGAGCAGCTCTGTTCTGAACTGCCTCTACAGCGTATTGATGAGGTACAGTCGATGGGTATTCCAGATGGTTGAAGCATATTCTATTTTTGGTCTGACGTACGTGTTAAAGGTTAGCTTAGGGACAAAGGGTGGAGCGATTTTTTAAGTTACGTCTGCTTAGTCCAAGAGTTCCAGATGAATCGGCGGTAATGACTTCAATGTGGTTATTCCAGGGAAGGTCAGATGTTAGTCTTACACCAAGGTATTTATACACAGTAGCGGTCTCAATCAGATCGGAGTCCAAGAAGTAATTAAATGACAGAGTGGTTTTTTTCTTGGTGAAGTGGATTAGTTTGCGTTTATACTTGTTTGGTGACATAATCCACTCTTTGCACCAATTGTTAATTTTATCTAGATCTTCCTGAAGCTGGTTATTATTTTGCACACAAGTTACTTTGTTATGGATGACGCAGTCGTCGGCGAAAAAGCGTTTTTTTGAAGAAATCCCAATGGGAATGTCATTAATAAATATTAAAAAGAGTAAGGGCCCAAGTACGAACCCCAGGGGAACACCAGGAGATACATTTATTAAGGAAGATTCATGATCATCATGGACGTGACCTGTACACGGGAAAAAAGAAAGTCACGAATCCATGCAAACGGTTATTGGTCGAGGCAAAAATATGATAGCTTAGAAAGAAGGCGTTGATGGAAAACACGGCCGAACACTTTGGAAAAAAAAAAAAAAAAAAACTGCGTCAGTTTGGACGTGACATTCAAGGTTAGTGTGCAAGTCATGGATGAAGTCGCAGAGTTGCGTTTCGCAGGAAAGTACCTTTTGAAAACCGTGCTGCTGTTTAAAGAAAAGAAATGGGATGATAGGTGCCTCATGATATTGGAGTAGAGGATATGCTCAAGTAGTTTGCAAGAAATTGAAGTCAATGAATTAGGGCGATAATTAGATGCGGAAGAGCGGCTGCCCTGTTTAAAGACTGGGAATTACCCTTCCCACCTTTTGGTCAGATGGAAGGCAGGTTTGAGATGAGGAATGAATGAAGATGAGTTTCAAATACTCACTAGAAATAACACGGGTGTTTCTTTTAAATTTTAGGGTTGATGTTATCGGTTCCAGCGGACGAAGTAAGTTTTAGTTTATCAATCAATGTTTTAATACCAGCGGAGTTAACGTTAATAGGATGCATGCGCTCGTAAAGCTCTTCAGGGAGAGTGGGGACGAAGTCCAAGCACTCGTTAGTAAACACTGATGAAAAGTATTCGTTAAACACAGAACTATCATGCTCGACGTTGCACATCCGACATTCCTAACTCTCCCCATCTTCCTAAACGTCCGTGTGTGTCCCAACACCAGAAACCGGAATTTTAAAGGTTAAAAACGGCACGTTGCGAATATGGAACGCGCACTTTCATGCAAAGCTGACGTCAAGTGACTCAAATCGAAAAACATGCATATTTACAGTATTGTTATCTCTTCTGGTGAAGGCTAAACAACCGTTGCATCCGTTTTCGCGCATGAAACGGTGACTCCCAGAGAAAGTAAGAACGCAGTGATTGTCTTTATTTTAACGATGTAAACACACTTGCAGGCGTGCGCTGATGAAGCCTCAAAATCAAAACTCTAGTAGTGTGATTCGTGACTGCTCCGGCTACTACCCAACCTTGGTGTCACACTGTCACGCCACTTTCTGCAAGCAAACACTAAAATTGCCAGTAAACACACAAAAGCGACATCGATACAATTATCTTGTAGAATATCACCTTATTTAATCATAACTGTTTCAATAGGCACTACAAGTTGTATTTATTTTAAGAAGAAGAAGCAAAATTGTTTTCGTGAGAAAAAACAAAATATCAATGTTAAGTCTGGTAACGTTGTAATTTTGCCGAATCATTGCCACATGTTTAGAAAACTTCGGCAAAAGTTGCGCCGAATTTTCGATTAAGGGGGGGGGGGGGGGGGGGGGGGGGGGAAGAGGGTCGGGTTTGCCCCCCCACTCAAAAACAAGTTGGTACGCCACTGTCCACGTGACAAGAAAGGGATGACCGACGCGGCGAGTACCCAAGACCCAAATGCGAGATACGCAAGAAAAGCTGGCAATGGAAGGAACACCTGTGACAAACCGCCGCCACTTTCGTATGAAAAAGGAGAACGCAAGTGCTACAACTGCAACCATTATGGCCACATGGCACGGGACTGCCCCCCGCGAAAACGAGCCTTGAGGTCTTTGCACTGTAACAAAACTGTACCACACCCAACGTCACTGCAAAGAGGTGGCACATCGAAAGCGTAATGAAGCAAACACAGTGAGTGAACCATCAAATGAAACAATAAATTTTGGTGTTTTGATGAAGCAAGTCATACTAATAGACAATCTTTCCCTCATTGGACTCAATGACACGGTCAGCTCCGGCTGTCTACTTCGTGCGTCAGCGCAGCTCTATGTGACACAGAACTTGTTCAGGAGTCAACACTTCTGTACGGTTTTGGCAACAGCAGCGTGCCAGCGTCTAGGAGCATTGGAAGATCCAAGGCTGACAAAGACTGATGGTGTCCTAGCGAAGGACATTCCCATTCTTGTTGTCTCGGATGAAGCAGTCTGTGGACTTATTGGTCGGACAAACATTTACTGAACTGCCCTACTTGACAAATGCAAGAGTTGGAGGCTGTCTTTGACTCTGGCACTTGAGTGACCGCCCGTTTGCGCACACAGGCATATAGATCGAGCACCACCAGAAACTAAAATTGAAAGCAAGGGAGGAGTCCATTCTCCAGAAAGACCTGGTCAATTGGATCACCCTGACAACAGAAAAAAGGGTCACAGGCCCAGTCATTTACAGACAGTGCGGGATGGATGTCCTGATCATATGACTCTCGTTGAGGTCACGTTACCTATGTACCCTGCAAGTAATGGTGAGACAGTCATCAGGAAAGGACAACTACTTTGGCAAGCCAAACCAATTGAGATCTTGCAGGTAGACATCAATGACACTCATGAAGTCCACATCAAGCGTGACAAAAGCAAGGTGAGCAGAATCGAGCGACAACCCGTCCAGGGGACAGAAGTTAGCATTAGACCTGCAGTAACAACGGTGAAACAGTCTAACTAGTAGAACTTTTCACCAAAATCAGAGAGTGCTTTGTAATGGCACAAACTGAATTGGGTTGCACATCAGTTGTGGAAATGCTTCTACGAAATTGCGCTGCAGGAGCTAGCATTCGACGATAAAGCAACATGGAAGGATCCTAGCAAGCTGAGAGTATGTGTAAGGCAACGGTTGCTGGAGGAACAGGAAAGAAGCAAGCAGGCATATGATCGTCGACACTACCCAGCAAAGCTATAGACCGACACGCTGTTTGCAAACAAGCCCGTTTTTGCCCACACCAGGTGTGGGCACTGCGCATGCGCAGAAACTGAATTCGCGTGAAGCGAAGCCTCTACGCATCAAAGTGCCGTCGACAGTGCTACCGCAGCTGCGTGACGTCAGGGCCGCGTGCTGGTCTATACAACTGGGGAGAAGGGGGGGTGGAGTTGTATTTATGAGGAAAGCAACACAACACACCGGAAACTCAACGAAGACACAAGCAACGTGCCGAAGATCCCTGGTTGTCACCCAGGTGTTGCTTGCAGATACCTATCGAGAGGTAAAGCTCGACCAACGTTCTGAGAGCCGGTTCGCAACGCCGGCACAAATCTCCCAGTTAAAAGGATGGTCGACGACGTTGGCAGCGCCCCACCTTGACGACGACATCGCCTCCGAAGATTCGGGAGACAAGCAAGAGGAGCCCCCAGCTTCTAGAAGGCCTACAAGAAACATACACTGCCTGCTAGAGTGTATAAAGTAAATACTTTTTCTAATGTTTCTCGGCGTGTGTGTTTGTTTATTACCTTGATATTTGTGTGTATCTTTGAACTTAACGAGGACGTTAAGGATCCAGGACGGCCGAGCGTACTTTAAAAAAAAGGAAAAAAAAGTGACCCTCTGGAAGCTTAGAAAGACGATATCTCGTGCGGCCAGGGCACGGTGTGTGCGAACGTGTGGAACTTGTATAGTCCGTGTGGCGACCGCAAACGGAAGCCAAGCCTGTGTGGCCACCCCAACCAAGAATTAAACATTCCTTTTACCAATGTGAGTATAAGCCCTTACGATCTTCCGACATGCGTTAGTACAAAGATAACGCCATAAAGTGCAGTTATCTATTTAGAATTGCAATATCATAATTATATTTTTGTGTATTTTGTCTAACTTCTAAGGAGCTTCTAAAAAGAAGGCATAATACTGTAAAGGCCCGTTCACACTTGCGACAGTCGCTAGAGCGACTAGCGAAAAACGACCACAAGTGTTCACACCTGATTGAGCGACCGACGAGTCGCCACCTTTTTCGAGCGGCTGAAAGGTTTTTCTGATCAAAGGTGCCGGCAGGAAAAATCAAGAAAACGTAATGGTGCTTCAGAACGGAAAACAAGGGCTATATGTGCGCTCCCTCAATCGTGATATTGTACGTACCTGCCATGCCGAAAATGTCGCCGATCTCGTTTTAGGCCTGCAATTTTTTGCCCCGATCCTTGTGGTCGGGGTGCCGCTTATTGTAAAGAAACAAATAGTCTTTGACAGCATTGATAAGAGCTTCCGCGAAGAACCCCATACCAGTGACCGCCGCCGTGCGCGTGTCGCTATTTCCCGCGGGAAGCAGTGCCGGATGTAAACAAACGCACATATCACTTCCGACGAGACACGAGACTCGGATTGGCTCCGCCGTCCAGCGACTCGGATTTTTCGACTTGAAAAACAGGTCGGTAGCGACCGATTTAGGGCAGTCGACAAGCGACAAGCGACCAAAAACCAGTCGACCGATTTTGGGCAGTCGCTTGTCGCTCCAGCGACTGTCGCAAGTGTGAACGGGCCTTACAAAACTGAATCCGAAACTAAAATAAATGGTTGCCTAACAGGCCGATAGACGACGCCAGCGCATTGCCGCCCCCGCCCCTCGCCCTCTTAAAGGGCGCGTGTTTTGAATCGCCCGACGATTGCATGTTTTGTGGCATTGAGGGGCTACAACGTTACTAAAACCCTCAGTTGGAAAACTCGCCCTTGAAACCTGAGCCACTGGCGTCCACTGAGACCGAGCTAAATACGATAACAGCGACACCCTTCAGTGACGAGTTGAAACATTAAAGTTGCTTTAAGGCGCATTCACACTGAGCAAAAAACGCGCGTTGCGGCCGGCGTCGTAAAATACGAAGCAGTCACACAGGTCCACCCGACGGCGGCGTCGTCTCGGGGAATCTCACGTTTGTCGAGTGAATACGGAATTTTTTATTCGTCTGCTTCGCACAATTGTTGTTGCCTTGCCTTCGCGATTGCATATGCGGTGGGAGACAACCGTCTTCATTGAATGGACAACGGTGATGATTATATATACGTTTACACTCCGGTCATATGCAGCATTGGCGAAAGGCACGGACTCGAACGGGCAGCTTCAGGTGCTCTTTTGCCGCGTTTTTGTGCAAACAAAGCACGGTGCTACGCCGGCGCGTCCCAGAGCCTTCGCGTCCGTACCTTTAACACTGCACGCAGCCTGTGCGAGAGTGTTTTCGATGGAGGACTGTTGTATTCCGTAGTGATGGGTGTACACAAAATTACACAACACATTGGGAGTGATCGCTCCCGCACAGTCGGAGGTCGGAACACACCGCGAACTTCGGTGGCAGCTTTCGCGGCAGCTTCGCGCAAACGATGAAGAGTAGCTTCACAGCGTCGCACACGCACATAAAACACTTCTCACAGTCAGATGTTCCAATCGGCTGGCTTCTTTCCACGCTGGAATACTTCCAGCCACGTTTGGCGAGTGCACGAATCCCCCGAGCTCTCTGCCTTTTCGCCTTCAATGTGAGTCGAAAATAAAAAAAAAAAAAAACAGCGAAAACATGTCCTAACCGGAAAAGGGCGATACGTCACGTCCGGACGCTCGCTGATTGGCTCAAGCGCGCGCGTCGAAGGAGAAATCGGGTTCCGAGGCGTCGTCCTCCTCGGCGCGTAGAGTCAGTGACAAATGCGCCTCGTGCGCGTACAACTTTGACTCTTTTTCCTATCCACAATTTCCTTTTCAACGCTTACTACTACTACTACTACCTTGGCGCGCGAATTTTTTCAATACAAAAATAAGCAAAAAATTCCCCCCCACGACGCGCGTCTTTCCGCTGTGTGAATGCGCCTTTACATGGCTACTGCGAGATGGCCCTGCGAGATGGCGCCACCGGCCCTTGCCCGACTCGACGTGCAGTTCCCGGAGTGGACGCTGCGGGAGAAAGGGCGGCGTTGCGATCGCCATTAGCTCGGTTCTCAATTTCGGAATGGAGCCACTTTTCTAAAGCAGGCTCTATGGCAGTTTCCCAACTGAGTGGTTCTAGTAACGTTGGGACTATATTAGGAGCCGCCCAGCGGGGTGCGGGCGAGAGGTTCCGGGCGACAACCGGTGATGTGTCTTGACCCAATACTGACCTTCGCCGGCTGCAGGACTTAAAGTCTCCCGTAAGTTGAGGGGGGGTCCCTACAAAAAAGGTAGGGGGGGGGGGGGGGGGTTCTGACGAGATGTACTAGATGCACATAAAATAAACCCCACTGCTGACTCTGTCCACGCTGTACCTGTAACCCTCAAATTGCTAATCCCCAAATGTCACATCCCTGAAAACGAGATATTTTATTGCAAGATATGATTTTTATTTCACTAATGTTGGGGCTGTGAAGGAGGGTCTCGGACCATCCTTTAAAATCAGTGGGGGGTCCGAGACCCCCTGAGACCCCCCAGACTTTAAGCCCTGGCCGGCTGGAGCATTTCCTGGAGGCTGGAAGACTTAGTCGCGCTGACGCGTCCCGGGAGCTGGCGGCTCTATCGGCCTGGAGGCAGTTTTCACCTTGCGACTCGGTGTCCCCAAAATCTGTACGCGACAAAGTGGTGGAGGTGCGGGGTACCTCAGCATTCCCAAGTAAGCGACGCCGTAGCAGTGCCAGTGCCGAGTACACCGCAACCAAATGTGAAGGACTTGAATCAACAGCATCGCCAAGATGCAAGGAAAAAGTAAAGAAATAAAAAGGCTTAGCTCCTATGCCTCCTATGGAAACGCAGCGACGCCACCGGTCTGCAAACAACACGGCGCCGTTTCGCACGGGAGACAAGAGATGGCGCAACAAACGCCGCCAACGTAAGGCCCCTGTATACTGAAAGGTTACGAAAAGGAATTTTAAAACGAATTAAACGATTGGCAAAGAGCACCTGGTAGATGTCGCTAACGCCTCGCTTGTGATGACCGTCTAGGAACCTTGACAGCTAGTGACGGAGGTTGTCTCGCGTCCGGCCACGACGAGAGAAGAGGGGAAGGAGGAACTCCCCTCTTCCCGAGAATCCCTTTTGTGTGACCCAGAAATCGCTATTGTCCCTCTACAAGATTATAGAAGATTAACCCGTCACTCAAAATTCTGACAAAAGCAGCCGCTTCGGTGGCTGGAACGACTAGGACATCCTCTCGACGTCAGCCTCGCGGTGGCTTTGCTCATCCTGAGACGACCTACGTCACGATTGCGTCGGATGTCACGTGCTCTAAGCTGGGCCTTCTCCGAGCGCTTGGCAGAGTATACAGCCACCAGGCTCAAAATACAAACGTGCGATTGTCATTTACGGATATTGTGGATCATATTCACCCTATTTTTGAACACGACGCGTATATTTCAAATTTCGTTGGCATTAAAGGACACATGCAAAGGAAAAAAACATTTTTTTTAGGCAGCTTAGATGGAAAAAGGATGTCATAAAACGATTTTACGACGAAGAAAAAAATTTTTTAGAGAATCAACAATTCTAACGCGAAAAATAGCACGGAGACACACACCGATGTCGACAGCATCGGATTCCAATGGTTTGTTTATGGGCGACGCAAGCTTCTTGTCCACACTCCATCGCGCATGCGCAGCGCCGGTGGCGTCCGCTAGGGGCGCTCCGGTTTGCTTGTGAACGTGAGTTGGTCTATAAGACCAAAACAAAAAGTATTGAATCCTGTACTGGGCACTTGATCGATTAGTCTACCAATTAATCGAATAATCGCAGTAAATTTTTAACCGGTTAATCGATTCAATTTTGGCAAACAAAATAAAAAAAAGGGGTAAAACGTAACGCTTTCACCACGCAGATGTGAACGAGTACACCTGCATGAAGGCGAACCTCAGGTGAAACTTTGCCCTGAAGTAAACTGTAGGAGCACGATTTTTAACTCCAAACAAATGGAGAATGTTTACGTATCCCAGCCACTTCAATAACTTGCGAGTGTCCATTTAGCGCAACAGATACTATTGTGAACAATCAAAGGAGTTTGCTATTGCCAGATAATATCAACGAGCGTCCTTGCCTCAGCGGCTCAGAAGTAATTATTTCTGAGTATGGGGGGTCTTTTGACTGTTATCATCTACACATCCAGGTTGATTTAAAGGACCGATGCAACAATTTTTGTACTTTGCACAAATACCGCTTAAAACGGATCCCTAACGTTAATGACCTATGAAACACGCGTTCGTTTTTCACCACACGCAATAGAAGTCCCAGAAAAAAAATTTAAGAAAAACGAGCAGCGTTCACCCCCTCAACTCGCAGCTAGAACAAGCGGCCACGTGATCTGGAGCCGATTATATGCCGCCAGTGTTGATCATAGCCACGCGCTGGGGTTGGCAAAGCGCAGGACACGCGCTGAGTTCCAGACATTGTTATGGCTCGGCTGTTGTCGTCGTTGCAGCGATTGGACACGGGTCACAACCCGAATGCTTCTCGAGCTAGCAATTGTCACGAGCCCAAGTCGAGTGCCCACGCAATGCTCGGGTCCAATCTATGAACCGCATTCAAATATCGTCACTTGGGTGTACTGCGATCCCCGAGTTACGTCATCAAATTTTGCAAAGGAGGGATTGAATGAAAATGATCGCTTTTGTCCTTGAAATTACACCGCAACAAAGGAGCTTCTTGGCCAATGGCGTAGCGTGTGAGTATCCTTGAGTCCCAGGTGTGCCAGCAAGCTCGTGTAGAGAGAAAAACATTCCAATTGAATATCGTTGCACAGCTCCTTTAAAATCCAAAATTGTACATTGCGCCGTTTATCACGTATTAAACAAACGAAAAAAAAAACAGACACGTAATTTTGACTTTTTAAAAATTAGTATACATGGGAATAAACGAAACTAATAATCGATTAACTCATCGATTAAAAGGTTTCGATTAATCGGGTTAACATTTTTAATCGACGTCCAGCCCTGAAACATCAAACACGATTTGGAATATGTCATATAGTGAAGTGGCCCAATCCGAAAATATAAACAGCTGAACACGACCAAAGAGTAATTTTTTGGGCTTGAACTGAGTAGTAGTTACACCAACTGAAAGCGATCTACAAAATGTAATACATAGCTCCTGTAGAAGGAAAAGAAAAAAGTAATTCCCTATGAGCTTTGAAACCCAGTATCTCAAACAAAAGCAAACCAAAGCGAAACTCTCCCACTCTTTTTACATTGGTACAAGGAGGAGCAAATGCAGCCACAGTCGATGATAGGTTAAAAATGGAGTAGAAGCTCTGCCTCGAGCATGCGCTCGTTG